GCCATTTTTTCTGAACCTGCGCAATAAACATTTCCTTCTCTGAAGAGCTGGCTTTTGTGTCCCGTCTTTTCTACAACAAGCTTGACGCCATTGCCATACTGCTGCCGTGTTTCCTCTTTGCATTGGTTAGACCAAGACGGCCCGTGGGCCAGATCTAATCACACCGCGGGCCGAATCCGGCCCGTGGGCCTTGAGTTTGACACCCGTGCTCTACAGATTCCCAATTGCCTCAGTTCTCCTTACCCGACTTATAGAAATGGAACTGGAAACTCCGAGCGTCCACACCCAAGGATATCGGTCCCATGGTGGCTACAGCTTGCTCCAGAGCTGTCTCGTTCTCTGGCTGAATCCGCACTAAGGACGTGCAGTTGCCCACCCGCGTTTCTGGTTTGTAGCGACAGTACATCTCATCCTGCAGAGATGGGGTGAGAAGATGCAGGGAAAGTTTAGCACCCCCTTTTCAGACTGACACCTAGAATACAGAATCATAGGAACTAGAAGGGATTGTTCTGACCTAGGCTTCCCAAGATCATGAAGCCAGCCCGATAAAACCCCTTTTATTTAGTTTAAAGGGAATTCCTCTCCAGCAAAGTCCCGGCCGGGAGTCTTTCAAGGGATTTCACAACTACAGGCCTTGATCAGGCTTGGCAAGAAGTCAGGAACAGATCTTCACCCTAAGGAATTGAACTAATTGCCTCCTGCAAACTCCCCTCCCCTTTCGCTCCCCTTTTATTTCCTCTGGGAGGGGCCATTCACCGTTCACCTGTGGCCTTACTCCCAAGTCGACTCCTGTTCTTCAGCTGTTCCCTTCCTGTGGGAACTCTGCGCATACGCACACTGGGAACAGGCTCCAGCTCTTCTTCTGCCTCACTAATGCCTGACTCCGAAGGCAGCTGATAACTGACATACGGCCCTGGCCCCCTCTCTGCCTCCAACACAGAGCCCTCCTCAGAGCCTTCCCCAGACTCCAGGACTGGCCCATGTTCCTCCCCAACATCCTCACTGTCTTGAATCTGCCACCAGCTCCACCTGCCGCTGGCCAATTTCCTCTCTTGAGCAGTGTTTTTCAACCTCAACAACTACACTGTGTTGTTTCTCTGTGTCATATATGTGGATTTATGCATAATGTTGTCTTTCTTTCTTTCTTTCTTTCTTTCTTTCTTTCTTTCTTTCTTTCTTTCTTTCTTTCTTTCTTTCTTTCTTCTTTCTTTCATCATGCTTATGTATATTGGAGGTGGTGACCCTTTTGAGAGCTGGATGCAATGAAATTTCATTGTAATGTATGCCGATTTAGTGTACATTCAAAGTGACAATAAAGTTATTCTAAGTCAACTTTAAGACGTGTGGACTTCAACTCCCAGAATTCCCCAGCCTACTTCTCCGAAACACCTGAAGGCAGGGCAAGAAGCAATGGATGGAAACTAATCAAGCAGAGAATTAGAAATGAGGAGAAATTTCCTGTTTTCAATCATAATAATGTTGGACGGGGCCTTGGAGATCTTCTAGTCTGATCCCCTGCTCAAGCAGGAGAACCTATATCATTTCAAACTGGTGGCTGTCCAGGCTCTTCTTAAAAACTTCCAGTGTTGGGGCATTCACAACTTCTGGAGGCAAGTTGTTCCGCTGGTCAATTGTTCTCACTGTCAGGAAATTTCTCCTCACTTCTAAATTGCTTCTTTTCTTGATTAATTTCCACCCATTGCTTCTTGCCTTGCCTTCAGGTGCTTTGGAGAATAGCTTGACTCCCTCTTCTTTGGGGCAGCCCCAGAGATATTGGAAGACTGCTATCATGTCTCCCCCTGGCCTAGTCCTTCTTATTATTAAACCAGACCTACCCAGTTCCTGCAACCGTTCTTCTTATGTTTCAACCTCCAATTGTCCTAATCATTTTTGTTGCTCTTCTCTGCACTCTTTCTAGAGTCTCCACATCTTTTTAATATTACAGCAAGCAAACTGTGGGACCAAATTAGCTATCAATTTGCCATTTAGTGCCTTTACTTTGTGATTTAATGCACAAAATAAACAGGTTGCAAATCACGGTTTTGGTTTTCCTGCCTAGGCAGCGGGTTGGACTAGAAGACCTCCAAGGTCCCTTCCAACCCTGCTATTGCATTGCATTGTATTGTATCTCTATTTGATGCCTTGCCCATGTCCGCCTCCTTCCCCTCCCTCACCTTCTCCTGGTAAGGGTAATCCTGCTCCGAATCGATGCCTCCATTCTGCCGAACGTATTCGAAGGCGTGGCTGACGTAGCCCCCGTGGCAGCCCTTGTTGCCCAGCTTCCAGGAGCAATCCATGAGGTTCTGCTCGCTCAGGGGGACCAGCTTCCCCGTCTTCTTGAAGAGCAGCCCTTCCAGAGCCCCCGTGGCACTGAAGGCCCAGCAGGAGCCGCAGCGTCCCTGGGAAGACAGCAAGAGGCGGAGAGGAGCTCCAGGGAGGACCAGCAGGGCGAAGCTGGCCCTCTTGGTTCTGTACTTCATGATGATGGTGGAGGGAGACGGAGACGGAGACGGAGAAAGAAAAGGAGAAGGAAAATGAAGAAAAGATAGAAAGGGAAGGGGAAGTAGGAAGAGAAGAGAAGGGGCAGGGAAGCAGTGGTAGCAATAGCAATAGCAGTAGACTTATATACCGCTTCATAGGGCTTTCAGCCCTCTCTAAGCGGTTTACAGAGTCAGCATATCGCCCCCAACAACACGATAGATAGATAGATAGATTGCAATAGCAATAGCAGTAGACTTATATACCGCTTCATAGGGCTTTCAGCCCTCTCTAAGCGGTTTACAGAGTCAGCATATCGCCCCCAACAACACGATAGATAGATAGATAGATTGCAATAGCAATAGCAGTTAGACTTATATACCGCTTCATAGGGCTTTCAGCCCTCTCTAAGCGGTTTACAGAGTCAGCATATCGCCCCCACCAATCCGATATAGACAGAAAGACAGACAGAGATAGATAGATAGATAGATTGCAATAGCAATAGCAGTTCGACTTATATACCGCTTCATAGGGCTTTCAGCCCTCTCTAAGCGGTTTACAGAGTCAGCATATCGCCCCCAACAATCCGATATAGACAGAAAGACAGACAGAGATAGATAGATAGATAGATAGATTGCAATAGCAATAGCAGTTAGACTTATATACCGCTTCATAGGGCTTTCAGCCCTCTCTAAGCGGTTTACAGAGTCAGCATATCGCCCCCAACAA